AAGTCAATTAGTACAAGCATGTTGATATTTTGTCACTCATAAAAATATAGATTCTTTTGTTTTGGGCCACTTTTATCATCTTCTGGTTTTTTAGGTGCCTCTGTGAACGATGGAGCAAGTGAAAATGGTAGAATAACTTCATTGGAATGCATAATTGTAATAATAAAATCAATTTTTGAATTAATTAAGGTTAAAGTAACCATTGTACATCACTCTCTGTAGGTTAGACTTGATCACAGTTATTGAAAAGTAATTCACGCAGAAGTTGAGCTGATTGTCATTGTGACTTTATGATTGGATCATTTCCAGTGGAACAGAACGATGCTGTTTATTTTTTTTGCATTATTGTATTTTTAATATTGAAAATTATTTTACAATTAAACAATCTCTTGAACAGGCTACGCAAGCATAAAAAATAATTACCAGGCTGGCAAGCAAAATGAAATTAGCACATTAAACTGTGAGGCTAATTGCAAACACTTCTGAAATACTATTATTAAAATTTTCTCGCTATAAAATAATTTTTCATAGCTTACTGATAATGGTAGCAACAGCAGAGATATTTAGAAAAAAAAAGATTCACTTCGCCTTCCTTAGAAATAATACGCCATCTTTGATCTTGTGTCATTGCTGGATACCTCTGTATATTATAAAACTGGCGGGGGAAAATTAATTGCAAGGTGGGGTTAAGTTATGACGTCATATTAGTCAAACCATTAATAAAAATGGCCACCAGTATGTATTTCCTGACTGTTGTTTATTTAGCTGTTTCATCTGGTGAATGCAGGCTCTACAAAGCTGTAAAGCTTGCAATCGTGGCATAATGAAGGCAAACACTCAATCAAGTTTGTATGCAGTAAATGCTTTTGTGATACACTGATGTTTGAAAGTCAACAAAACTCTATGAGAGATTGCAGCCCATTTTGCAAAACTTGAAGAACTTTTGCCAAGTGATGGAACATACGTCAATAGAAAATAATATTATAAAAACAATCATATTACTAAAAATTAAAGTACTACCGTATAGCGGGAAATTTTGGAGGGAATTAAATTTGGCGAAATTGGCGGTTTGATAGCCATTCGCCAAAATTAAACCCGCCATTTTGAGCCATTATACGCATGCTCAATGCACGTGGCCACCAATTCGCAAATTAAAATCCGCCAATCACCAAAATTTAGCAATTCGCCAAATTTTAGTCCCTCCAAAATTTTCCGCTATATGGTACTAGACGAATGTAAAACATTGAATGGGCGAGCCTAAGCAAGTAAAGCAATGTACATACAATAGATATTGACAGACTAACAATACTCATGACAGTGCAACTTAAGCAGCTCAGAACTTGATTGAGTGCAGTGTAGTTCTTGATCTACCTTTGTAATCAAATCAAGTTTAGCATTTGGAAAGCATTAAAGATAGCTAGAAGCAGTCACTTCACGAATGATATGGCTAGATAGGCAACTGTAGCAATGTAGTCCAAGTTAGTTCAGGCTGTGACAGACATTCAAAGTCATTCACATCAACAAAGATGGCATATCTGCTTTCTTAACATTCCCTGCCGTTGCTTTGGACAGTAGTATGCAAGTATAGTAAGTCGAGTTATCAGCAAAAACAAGTTTCATAGTTACTTTATTGCATCTATAACCTTGCCTGGCTGTTGGAGAAGCCTTTGGACAGAATTTCTGTCTTATTTTGCTGCTAGAAAACTCACAACTTTTCCCGTGTGTTGGTCGCCATTTTATTTCATTTTGGCCACTCCCACTTTTAATGAAATATTGAAAACTGAATTTACTGTATAGCGGAAAAATTTCATGGCCCAAAATTTTCGTGGATCCGTCCAAAAATCAATTTCGTGGCTTTAATTCTCGTGGTTTTCTACAATTCGGCCATCTTAAACCGTATAAAATTGATTTTCGCAGATATTATTTTCATGGGTTTTGAAAAAAACGCGAAATCCACGAAAATTTTGGGCCATGAAAATTTTCCGCTATACGGTATATACCCATTTCAATCCATAGCATCTACCGTATTACGCATAAATAGGGGTGACGTACGTGTACAAACAAACAAACATACATACATACATACTTGTCTTGTTTATGTGGGGCTCGCTCAGGCTCGCCCCAATCATCATGTTCAAGAATTCTTTACTCAGTTTTCATCCATTTTAAAAAGTTTAGTAAAGTTTATTGCATCTCACTATTGAGAAAAAAATTGAAAAAATTATATATTGTAGAAAAAGTATAAAGAAAACAATTTGTGTCCCGAAATCTAAATTGTGCGTTCAGCCTGTTGTACCTTAATAGCAGTCTTTCAGGTGACTACTAGACCACACTTTTAATCCTCAAACTGCTTTCTAGGTTTGTGACACCAAAAAGGTAGTAAGACAAAAATGTGTTTCTCAGTACCAAACATGGTGGCCAATTTATATACTTAGCAAGCATCATCCTTCTTTATTATTACATAATAATATGTTATCATTAAACTTTGACAAGTGGATACATGGATACCAGACAAATTGTGTGCACAACTTTTCAGACCCTTCTCCTTGTACATGTAGGTGGGTTGAAACACTAATACTCTTGTAGGACTGACCACTATATAAGCAACAGTGAAGCTGCAAACATACTGTACAATACATGTATCTATGAGCAATGCCCTGATCTGGTCACACCCCTTCAATGAGGCACATGGCCAGACTGATTTTCAAAATTTTTCTTCCTTCTCTTAATCCCACCATGTATGTACATGTAAATTCTTGCCATCACACATGGCAGCAAATTTAGTTGCACCCTACCCCTGTTAATTACATGCAAAAGATTACTAGTCTTCTTGTAAAAGTTAACAGAGCCAACTTTTGTGCCAGTTGACTCACAGCTCATTATTGAGCTGTAGCCTTACTATCAGAAAGAGGAAGACAGTTTTAAGATAAAACACACACATGGTTCCATTCCGTTACCAATAGAGCTGTTGCACGGATGTAATCAACGGGGTAGGCGAGGCTTCCTGTCGGCCATCTTGAGTGGCAAGAATGTACACGCAACGAATGGAAGAATGGAAACAAACTGCGATTTTTCATCAAAGAGATATCATACTTCACTGCAGAATATTATAGAGACTTCTTCACTCAATATCTTCATCTCCTAACTTGCATTAGCCTGGAATGTCAACTGCAGAATTTATTTAATTTTTTT